TGTGTGTGTGTGTGTGTGTGTGTTGGAGAGGGGGGAACCCAGTGATGAATATCCACTGATGGCTGAAGCATGTGTGCTAAGACGAAACAGTGGGAGAACACAGATGGAAGTGTTCTGTGAACTTGGTCAGCCATTTTAATGATGTTCCTCTTAGTGACTCAGTGTGAGGTGGCCCGGCCACTGTGGCACCACAGCGACTGCTCCTCTGCTCCTCGCCACATGTTTTGATAAGATGATCGCACAATAGCCGTCTGGCCGGTGCATGAGTGTCTTAAGTGGTGTGGCCTTAGTGAAATAGGAGGAGCCGAGTTATGTGTCTTTTTGAACGCGCCTATGTGTGTGTGTTCCAGACATGCACAAAAACACACAACGCCTCCTTTGTGTCTCAGATGTCTGCACAGAGAGAATATGACAGCTTTAAAAGCCCCAACTCACATGGGATTTGCATTACCTGGGGTCCTCCTGTTGTTTGGAAGGATTCCTGTAAGAAGATGCCACTTCTGTAAAGTTATAATTCCACTGCTGATTGTCTACCTTTTTTCACCAAATAGATCTCATCATAATTAAAATTTTGTGCCAATTTTGATCTCAATTAAATTCTCTCTTGTCTTATATATTTTCAATGTCTTGATTGATGTGTTGATAGTAAAAATTCAGTAGGCTCATGTATCTAAAGGTTACCAGGGTCTATGGCTTCTGCATTTGTTAGAATAGTCCATTTGAACAAGAACTGATGTGGCATTCATGACTGAAACAGAACTCCCACTTCACAAAACTGACATTTTGTCATGCCAGAACCTGGGAAATTTAGTTTTTAATTTTCTTGCATAGACTACAGACATAACAAAAAACAAAATCATTTACACATTTTTGAAAGACAAAGCAGCAGTGATTTCATAAACTACTTAAACTCCAAGTGCATCACGTACTTGATTTCCCATGCAGAAAATACAAACTTAAGAGTTCCCTTTCTTTGCAGCATTAGGATTGGACATATCTGAAGATAATCCTTTATATTTTTGCCTGTATATTCAATTCAAAATGACTTACTGATTATCCTATGAATATTTGCTACTTGAAACTCAGTTGTGGAGGTAAATTCTGACTCATACGAGGTCCCCAGATCATTTTTTAGTACAAATAAGGCATGTTACTGAAAGGCTGAGTTATCACATCCATCCTTCCTTTAAGGGACGCTGGGGGTCCTGGAGCCAATGAGTTATCATATATTACATAAATTTACTTTGAAATGTGCATATTCACGCATATGTTCGTTCATTTATATGCAGTATGTCATCAATCTGTCAAATCCTTTGCTTGTGAGGAGCGAGCGCGAGCTGAGGAGCGAGACAGAGCGTGAGTGAAAGCGAGCTGATGAACGCAGATCCAGACCATGGACCCAGCATGTGAAAACCTCCCACCTCCATTTGTGCAATTATGTAGCTGTCATCTCTACTCGGATCAGCACTCTAAAAAGCACTGAGAGGAATTAACGAGAAACTCCTTTCGCCTCTCACCTTGATCACAGGCCAACTACATCCTCGGATGGATTACATACGAGGTACATCTTTAAAACGTCTCTGGTCAAATTCCCACAGAAACGCAAGTTAAGAAAGAAAACATATAAGAAACTGACAACAAGTCGGGTTCAACAGATCAGATGATGTCTGTTTCACTGTTGGCAGCACCTCACACCAACTGTACAGTTGTTAGCGAGTGTGACACCTCAGTTCAGTTGGAGAATTCAGGGTTTAATGCACATTTGGCCAAACCGCAACGGAAGCATGTGTGTGTATGGGGGAATAGGATGGAGCGCGCCTGTTAGACCACAACAGGACATTAAAAATGAGTTTAACCACACCTATCCTTTGTGTGTGTGTGTGTGTGTGTGTGTGTGTGTGTATCTGTGTGTGTGTATGTGTATCTGTATCTGTGTGTGTGTGTGTATCTGTATCTGTGTGTGTGTGTGTGTATCTGTGTGTGTGTGTGTGAGTGTGTGTGTGTGTGTGTGTGTGTGTGTGTGTGTGGGAGAGAGGGAGAGAGAAATAACAAAAAACTCTTAGGGGGGCTTTGTCACACATGTGCGTCTTGAAGTGCTTCAACCGTGGCACCTACAGAGGCCGATTGCAACTCGTCCCCAAGGTATGACCTCAGATGTCCCTCAACACCTCTGAAATAGCAAAAAAGCAGTTTATCGGACTCTAAGATCAAATGTCGTTCTCTACACGTTACTTTCGTACAGTGACAACACAAACCCCAGAGTGAGCTGAGTTTAATTTTGGTACTTCCTCTAAATGGTTGACGCCAGCCTGCGCCACAGCGTGAGAAGAAGCATGAAGAGGAAGAGAGTGGAAAAGAACTCTTAACTTGATATCATGTCTTCAGCTGCAGCCGTTACTGAACGCAACCGTCCTTAAATCAGAGGGATCGAGCTTCAGAACGGACAGATTAGAGCCACAGTTCTTGCTTCATTGGCTTAATTAGCGAGTGATTTTTACTTTTGAAGTGCTAAGTGACTGGCCTGTGCCGCTCGTGATCACAGTCATCTTGCACATAATTGACTGGACAGCCACCATCTTCACAGGGTGGCAATACACAGATGTCTGATTAACCGTCACCAAGATGAAGTCTGTGTCATCTTGACCAAAGTGTGTATTAATGTCTCTCTATGGCTCAGTCTCTTTAATTTTATTCATCTGTACAGAAACACTGATGTACTTCCTGCTGGGTTATGTACTAAAGCGTGTGTATGTGTGCAGTGTATGTGTGTTTTATGTGTGTGTGCGGTCCCATTCATCTGGCTCCACATGCACCCACTCAGTCGCACAAAGGGCCAGCCATGAGAATAAGGGAGCGGGGAAACTGAAGAGGCAGCTGCCTCTTTGCCAATGTGAGATCGACACTGGAACTAAGAGGGTCCAATACAAAACACACACGTGCATCCATATGCATCACGCTCGTGCATAAGCAGTCGTGTCTCATAGGGTGTTAAGTCATATTGTGCCTATGTCTGCGCTTATAATGTGACAGAAAAACGGTACTGATAGAGAATCATGCATGTAAAATTGTCTACAGTAAAACATACAATAACACACACACACACCCTGGGTTGTTAACATCAACTTATACATGCTCACACTTTACACATGCCAGCAGACACACACACACACACACCGGCAGTCACACACACTGTTGTTCTTGTTTTCTGTCAGACGGTCTCATTTTCTCTCACCGCTAGCGGTCGTTTACTCTTCAGATTGTTGAAATTGAGCTTTTTAGACTTTTCATTTCCAAACAACAAAAACCTCGCTCTCAAATTAAACAAAGATCAGCGAAGGGAAATTGCCCAGGAAGACATCTGCGACTCATTTTCCCCTGGAGTATATGATTAGGAAATTCATTTATGTCTAACGTATAATTCCTGCCCGTCTTTCAAGTGGGATCGTCCACACAGTGCCCTGTGTTCTACCCCGTGGAAGAAGGAAGGAGAAGTAAGGGGAAAAACAGCCTGCGGCATTGGGTTAGAAACAAAGACTATGTTGCTCACAAGAATGCTCCACTCTCAATTTTTTTTAATGACGTTGCTAGGATTTCGCCCCACCGGTTTTTTGAGGGAGAAATGGGTGCTGCACTTGGCCCTCTGTAGTTAAGGGAACGCAGATCTGGTGGCAACCCCAAGGCAGGGTCTTTGTCTGGAAGAACCACATGTGTTTAACTCTGATGGCCAAATGATGGGTCCCATCCCTCTGTGGTCTTGCTACCCGTAATTAGACGTTTTTACACGACTCACTGGCTGTTGCAGGGCACATGTAGCCTTAACTGACAGTGACAGAGGTGGAGGGTGAGGTCCTCTCCAGTGGATGCCTTCATTGTGTGACTGCCAAACAAACAGCGGCGATTCTCAAGGCGAAAACAGTCGTCTGTTTGAGTATCTGTTAATGACTCAGACTGGTGAGCTCATAAAATATTCTACCACAGGAAGAGCAGATGAGACAGAAACACTGGAAATGAGCACGAGGTGAAAATGGATTCCCGTAGTTCTTAATTAGGCTACACCATCATGGACAGCAGGATCTCCAAGATTCATTAAACTCTTGTAACAGGTTTAATAACATATAGCTGTGCCTTTGGCTCAGATACTATTCAGGGGTAGAGGTATATTTAATATCTTTCTTTCTCTTTTAGGAAATGGATATGGGAACCACCGCAACTCGCCTGGTCTGCTGGTCTCTCCGGGCGGCATGAACAAGAACATGCAGGCAAAGTCTCCCCCGCCCATGAACTTGGGCATGAACAATCGCAAACCCGACCTACGTGTGCTCATCCCTCCCGGCGCCAAGAACAACATGCCCTCCATCGTGAGTAATCTTTTCATCCCCTCATTTCTTACCATCGTTCCCTCCTTTGACCACCCTCTCTTCCCTGTTGTATCTTTTAGGTTACTGTGGTTTATTTCCTCTCTCGTCCTCTATGCTGCTTCCAGCTCTTTGTATCAGACTTGGGTCGATGAGGTTAACTTTAGGCACATTTCTTGTTTCCTCATGTGCCTCTGCAGCTTCTTGAATCAGCAACTGTCCTCTTCAAAATGTCCTTTTCCCCAAGACTGATATATTTCATCAGCTGTATCTGTTTGTGAATGTTCGTACTTAAACTACAGACCCCAATATTACCTTCTCCTCGCTTTCTGATAAAGTTTTTTAGTGCGTAATAGTTAGCATCCTGTTTTTTCACACTAGTTCTGTTCCCTTGTTCCAACAGCAGCTCCATCCCTAGATTCACCAGTATTTCTCTATTCTCACTCACTAATTTGATTTTATCACCCTCCGCTTTTAATGCCATCAGTCTGAGGATGTTGATCTGCTTTTGGTAAGTTGGACTGCCACTCAAATTTAGAAATCAAAACCTCCCTAGTAGGGCCTTGACAGTCTGAAACTGGTTAATGTCGTTCTAAAGAGCATAATGTGCCTTGTAGAATGAAGAGCAGTCACCTGAGTCTAACGTCTTAATGATTGTCACAGTCACATACAGGATGTCATAGGCAAGTGGTTCCGACTTCACTGTAACTTTAACCTTTATTGTTGCTGACTGCGCTGAAGACGCCAATGTCACATGACATTTTGTGAGGGCACATACTGCCATCCAGTGGTGCATCAGAGTAAAATCAGCCTGGCCTCTTTTTTTTGCCTCAGCCTTCATCAATCCTTTCTTCCCACCGCTCCCTGTATCAATACACCTCTGTATGACGTTACATGCTCACAGTTTTATTTATCAGAATATAGAAATGAACATCAACAAAAAATGTCACTTTGATTTTGCACCAAACCTCAGTTAGATTCAGCACCAACCATCCCCTCTGCCACAGTAAAGAGCCTCTCCCTTGCCGTCGCTACCCTGTGTTGCTGTGGAGACTGATGGTGTTACTATAGCGACAGTGCGCCCTCGGAAAGGGTGGTAAATGATAGGGTTGGCAGGGTTCAGCCGTGCCGCACGTCAAGTGATTAATTTCCCCAGAATTGGCATCACATTCATTTTCTCAGCATCTGTTGAGTGGAAGAAAGAAATGGAAAAGAAAAAAAAACTTTCTGGGCTTATTGCAGTTTTTTGTTTGTTTTGTCTGGGAGGTGATTTCATGTTCTCATGCTATTTCCATCTCTCTTTTCTCTCTGTGCCTTCTCTTTATCTGTCTCAGAACCAGAGAATAAACAACTCTCAGTCGGCTCAGTCACTGGCCACCCCTGTGGTATCAGTAGCAACTCCCACTCTACCAGGACAAGGCATGGGTGGTTACCCATCTGCCATCTCTACTTCTTATGGTACCGGTACGTATCTTATCACCGTCAGCATCAAGTTCTCATTTTTCCATCAACGCAGGATTATTCTAATTACCTTGTGTATTTTAGATAATGTAATGTGTTTTAATTCAGAACAAAACCCATATATTCCAAACAATTCCGGGTTTTACGTCAGTTAAAATGTATGTGATGCTTTTAGAAAATCTTTGAACTGTTATACAGCTTTATAACAGCAGAGGGTGCTATTGTCCCACTCACTAACACAGACCCAGCATTTGTCAGTGAGGCTCTCTGACCTTCCTTGAACAACCTATAATATTCCTCCTCCTCTTCATCCCCCCTGTGTGTTTGTACACAG